GTCACTCACTATGGGGTTGCTTTGTCAGATTTGACTCCATAGCAGTGTTCGGTTTTGAACTTCGCCACCGTTTGTTTTGTTTTCTATTAGCAGGCGTCACTGGGTGGCACAAACTGGACGGTTGGTGGGTGGAAGCTACTGGGAGGTACTTCAGAAGAGAAGCCTGACACGCTGTGCTGCAATGTTCACAGCCTCGCAGACCACGTGAAGTTCTACTCTGCACACGCAAGCTCACCATGGACGTAAACCAACTACCTGGCAACCACCTAAAAGTATGTCAGCAGGCCGAGTCTCAGTGACACAGTGGCTGCAACAAGGGGATCAAACAGGCACAAGTGTGAGGATGAGCCAGGACCTGGCAGTGTTCTGTTCTGCTGTACACAGGGTCACTATGAGTCGAAAATGACCCAATGTCACCCACCAACACCAAATCTCATTCAGTTGCCTGGAGAGAGTACTCTCCCCCTGGCCGAAGTGGATGAATGTCATATAAGTGAAATAAGAATCCCAACATCCACACCAATATTGGCCTGGAAACTAAGAAACTGAGAGGGAAGGACCCTTCTGGACAAAATGCCAGCTCATGTAATGGGAGGGAGGATAGTAATAACTGACTCCAGCAAAAATCCTTTGGCAAATGTTTGCTCAGAACAGGATCGTTAGCTTCAATGTACCCACCCCAATTATCGATAAAGGGGGAAAGAACTTTACAGTGAAGAAACCCAATGACATCTTAGTCAAATGACAAGTTAATGCAATCGCAGTAAGTTGGCTGCTGTTGTTGTTGTAGGTGCCTCCCAGTTGGTTCCGACCACAGCCACCCTATGCACACCAGGAGGAAACCTTGCCTGATGCGCCCCACTGTTCCCATGCCAGACCCCATTGTTGCAGCCACTTAGTTAACTCACCTCGCTGAGGGCCTTCCTCGTTTTTGTTGCCTTCTCCAGGGACTGCTTTCTGCTTACATGTCCAAAGCAAGTGTAAAGTTTCACCGTCCTTGCCTCTGTGGAGCACACTGCCCATACATCTTCCAAGATTGATTGATTTGTCCTTAAACTGGTGTTTCCCTTCTAATGTTGTAGTCCAATCGTTTGTTTACAAAGTCTCTTTTGTTCAAGACTTGCTGCCTTCTGCTACCTGGGCTGATTCTCCTTGTGATAGCACTGTGGTAAAGTGAGATTTCTTATCATGGGTCTTCTGTCTATGGCTCTAATTGCATTATCCCATGGAACAACATCATTGGATTAGGTGGGACTCAGCAAATAGGGCATGTAAAAGACCAATAGAAGGGATTGGTTGCCACCCCCCTGCTTGTAATGGAGGTATCTTCAAAGTAGCAGAAGAGCCACTAAGATAGCATGTTCAAGATCCCTCCCTGCTTGAAGTTGTGGAGGCACCAGAAGCCAGGCCATCCCAAGACCTGAGGTCAAGGCAAGCAGACATGAGAGAGAGCAGAGGAGCAATGCTGAGACTATGAGACTGTGAGGCGGGGGAGCAGGTGAGCCTCCTGGTCCTTGCAGACCAGAGGTTAAGGGACCATGTGACTGAGAGGCCAAGGGCCAGACAGTAAGATCTGGATGCTGGCTGAGGTGTTGCTGTGGACCAACCAATGATTCTATCCATACTCAACTCCTGATTAACTTTTTAGTGTTGTCTCAGCTGTGTGTGGCCATTGCAACGAATCATCGAACCGAGCATAAAGGTAGAACATCGTGGGAGGAAAGGTAAAAGGTGCAGGCATGTCTAACCTCTGTAGAAGGCTTTGGGATAGCCAAAGGTCAGATATGGTATCCATGCTGTTTGCCCAAGCATCCAAGAGCAAATACCCGTTTGTCTAGAAATCACTAATTTCTAAAGTATACAAATTTTACAATGACAGTCTAACTACCAATGCCCATTAGAAGTCAAGGAAAATCTACACACACACAATTTTTGGTCTAGCCCACAGGTTTCCAAACTTATTTAGCCCACCACCCCCTTTTCAGAAAGTTACTCAGCCACCTCCAGCAAGGAAAACATATAGCCCATCACCCAGGATAAAATATTGGTATCTGCTTCTGCAGCCCCCCCTGGATTGTTTCACTGCCCCCCAGGGGGGTGATATCACCCAATCTGAGAAACCTTTGTCTATGGGCTGCAAGCTTTTAAGTGCTTGGATAAAGCAGTGAACAGAAAAGCACTGCTGCTGCCATGGAGATGATCTTCTAGCATGACACAAATGTTCACATCACTTTAGTCCTACAATACATGAGGCATACTCACCCCTGAAAAGATGTTATTTGGCTTGGGACCCAGTAGATGCCCTAATAGTTAACACTTAGGCACTTAATAAAGGAGCCCTGATGGCGTGGTGGTTACACATTGGTTACTGCAAGGTCAGTAGTTCAAAACCCTCAGACAAGAGTTACAGGGTCAGAGTGAACTCGACTCATCATTGAGTTTGGTTTATGCACTTATTAAATATGCACTTAATAAATAATAAGCAAAAACGTTCTATGGTAGATGTGCTTTGTTTTATAGATGAGGAATGAGGCCGAGTAATGTGACTTCCCAATGGTAGTTCATAAGGTAAAAAAATAACCTGGTGAGAAACCAGGTCTAACTCCATGGTCCAGACACGTGACACAGCAAAAGCGGCAGCATCTTTTGAAGTCATTTCTTGACAGTCAACACTTCTATCAGCCTTTAGAGAGCTGAGGACAAGCCCTGCCAGGAACCCTCACGCCTCCAAACTCAACTCATAATGACCCTTTAGGACGCAGCCGTATCGCCCCCATGGTTTCCAAGGATGCAAATCTTGACAGGCACAGCAAGCCTCTTTTCCCTACAGACATACTTGCGGTTTCAAACTGCTGACCTTGTGGTAAGCAACTCCATTTGTCACCCATTATATAACCAAGGCTCCTGAAAACATCCTCTAAAGAAACCATAGCCAAACTGCTATCGAGGCCACTCTAACTCATAGTGAGTGACCCTGTAAGACAAGTAAGCTGCATACACGGGTTTCTGAGGCTGACTCCAAACTGCAATCAGGGCACCACACGCAATACCCGGGAGGAGTTAATCCTATACCGTTCATTCTGCCTACAAACTGAAGCTAACCTAGCATTAAAATCTCTAAGAGGAAAAAAGGGGTGAGGAACAATTAATGTGAGAGAGCGCATTTGAACTGTTAGTGATGGCTATACAATTCCTTTTAAGTGATTTTTAATTATAGAAATGTATTACATCCAAGAAAACTTAAAGGTTTTGCCTAAGGAGCACCGAGTTTTAATGTAGTGGAACAATTTGGAAAGGGATGCCAATATACAACACAAATGGCACTGAATCATGCATTTAGTTGGATGTTTTGTATTTTTGCAAAATCGGTCGGGTGGAGCTACATGAATGAGTACAAGTTAGAAAACGTTCTAAAATTGATTGTGGTAAAGAATGTTCAACTCTTCTTGGTCTGATTGAAGTACTGAATTGTATGACATGTGAATGAATTGCCAATAAAACTTAAAAAGGAAAATAAAGGTGGGAGACCAGGTCAAACACAAATGTCTGAAACTTTAAAGAGTAACAAGTTGGGGGATGGGGGAAAAGAGCTGATACCAAGGGATCAAACAAAAAATGTTTTGAAAAATGATGGCAACACATGTACAAGTGTGTTTGATACAATTGATGGATTGTTATAAGAGGTGTAATAGCTCCCAATGATTAATTTTTTAAAATAACCAAGTCGTCTTTGGTGTGAGGGTAGCAAATTCCTAGAAAATACTTCTAGCAATGCTTCAATAAAGATTACAAGATAGCAAGGATTTATGTGACCTCCTCCCTGGGGGACAGACAACAGAAGTGAGTGAAGGGAGACGTCAGACAGGGCAGGGCATGACATAATAAACAATTTATAAATTATGAAGGGCTATGAGGGGGGAGTGGGGAAAATGAGGACCTGATGCCAGGGGCTTAAGTGGAGAGCTAATGTTTTGAGAATGACAAGGGCAATTAACGTACAAATGTGCTTTACACAATTGATGTATATATGGATTGTGATGAGTCACGAGCCCCTAAAACTATTTTTAAAAAAAACTACAAGATACATGGTATCCAACCATCTGCATGATTAGGCCAGGAGGTTCATTAAGACATCAAATGAGATTCACTTGGGCATCCTTAATGTTACTTGGGTTTTTAAAAATCATTTTATTGAGGCTCACACAACTCTTATCATAATCCATACATGTCAATTGTGTAAAGCACACTTATACACTCATTGCCCATTGTTCTCAAAACACTTTCCACTTGGGTTCCTGGAATTAGGACCTTTCCCCCTCCCTCATGAACCCTTGATAAATTATCTTCTCTTACACTGCCTTACATCTCCCTTCACCCACTTTTCTGTTGTCCAACCCCCAGGGAGGTTATTTATGTAGGTCCTTGTAATCAGTTCTCCCTTTCTACCCCCACTTCCCTCCTCCATCCCGGTATCACCACTGGTCCTGAGGGGCTCATCTGTCCTGGATTCTGTTTCCAGTTCCTATCTGCATCACTGTACATCCTCTGGTCTAACCAGATTTTTAAGGTAGAATTGGGATCATGATGGGGAGGGGGGGAGTGTTTGAGAACTAGAGGAAAGTTGTGTATCTCATCGATGCTACACTGCACCAAGTGACTCATCTCCTCCCCACTACCCCTCTCTGCAAGGGATGTCCAGTTCACAGATGGGCATTGGGTGAATGTTATTTGTTTTAACTGGTTGCTATATTGGGTATTTACATCCTATTAATATCTTGTGACTTGAGTATGGAAAAATATAAGACCACCCTCCCCCAATGTGAAATTCTGATTCTGACCATGAGACTAACATCAAACAAGTCCATTTTGCTAACAAACCCAGTTAGTGTCACCTCCTAAAAAAACTTCTTTCTCTCGGAATTTGGCAAGCTTGGTTCGGCTACTCCAGGGCCGTAGTCTTTTTATGAGAGCTACACCAGTAATACATAAAGGCGGCACGGTTTGTTTTATTTTAAACTTTATTTAAACATAACTATACTTACAGAAATACACTTATAATGGTTAATAGAATACAATTTAAGTTCAACTTATCCTACATAATTTGGACCAAAGACTTGGTACATGGTTTAAGATTCAAAACAAAACAGGGATTTGCGATCTGGTTTATTTTTTCATCGATTACAAGTACAAATGTATAAAAAGATCCTCCCTCAAATGCTGCAAAGGCAGGCAGCAAGAACCATGAGAAATTTACCTTTGGTTTGCTTCAGAAAAACACGTATTGCACTGTAAAAAGTTAAAAAAAAAAAAAATCGGTACAATTTTGTTGCAGTTTCGATGCCAGCTTATAAAAAGTTCAATAACTAACGAATGCAGGTTTGGGGGTCGAGCCTGTACACAACACAAAAACTATTAAGACAGTAAATTGCATGCAGATTGTAAATCTACACACACGATTTGGGTCATTCCTTGCCATCGAATTACCGCCAATATTTCAGTTCACCTTCTGAAGCCAACAAGGAAACTGGCTGGAAAATGGCATTCTGGCTGTAAATATTCCTGATTTATACAGGAAGGAAACAATGAAGCTCCACCCCCCACTTTACAGTCCAGAATTGATAATGTACTACAGAGGCAAGATATTCTTTCCACAGCCAACGCTCACAGGGTAGCATGCCATGGGATCATTTTGGGTTGACATTCTTACTAGCGCGCATACAAAAACAGTCCCCAAATTCCAAAGACTATGTGACTTTAGCAGTGACTGCAACAATAAAGGCCTGGAAGACTGGAACAGTATTCTCAACCAGCTATGAAGCAGCCTTCTCAAGAAGGGTTAGCCACTTGTAAAGTTTACCTCAATTAAAAAAAAATTTTTTTTATTTTAAGAATACAAAATAAGTAGCCCGCCACCCCCCCACAAGGAAGAAGCAGCTCTGAAATAAAAAAGAAAAAATATATAATTTAAAACATCTTAAAAACCAATGTGAATACAGGGTGTTCAAAAAATAGTTAAGAGATACATTTCCTTAAGGCTATCTAAGATTAGGCTTATAATGTATTCTAGTATTTCAAGTTTACCACTAGTTATTAAGCATCAATTTACAAATAACATGTTCATTTTGTTTCTTTGTCAAAGAAAATTCTTGCTTCAGTTCTATCCAGTAGGAGTGGGGGCTAAGAAAATAAAAAAATCAAACAGTTCCATGCAAATATCACATTTCTCAACTGAAGAACTCCTGGCTGAACTAGAAGTTCATATTACTAATATACTTTTTCATTGATACAATTTTTATTAAGTACAAACACATGGCATTACGGCTCAGAACCTAATATAGGCCTGACCATCAAGTCATTGTGTTCTGGAAGAAAGGCCTCAGAACTCCCACTCATTTCCAGTAATAATGTTCTTAGACCAATTAGTTTCCTGCATATTCTAGTCTAAAAACTAGATTAGAAATTAGTTGAATTCTTCGGCATTCCCCAGAAGTATGAAAGAATCCACAAACACCTGTGATTCACAATCTATGCTTAATATGAATCTTTCTACACATACTGTAAAGGCATTTTAAGTAAAATGTACCAATGAGCATTCAAACTAGTTGTTAGATTTAACTGGCTTTATAATTTAAGATTTAAAACATAAATATTTGCAACTGGATCTTCTGTTGACAATGATTGTCAGAGCCTAGAATTCACCATCATTTAGTCATTCATACATACATGGACACAAACACACACATATACAACTTACTTCTCATATCTTGAGAGAATCCTCAGATTCCTTCAATCTTTGGCCTCCCAGCCAATTCCAAGTTCAAACATGTTTTAGCTCAAACTTTTTCACTCATGATTTTTAACAGAAGTTTTCTATCCACACGTCATCAATACTTTCCACAGCAAAAACGGTGCTGCCCAAATCTGAAGCCTGCCTCCCAGAGACCACCATATCTCAGTTGATTACTTCAGAAAGCCACGGGAGATCAGAATTGTCCAGGATCTTCTAATGGTTTATTTTATTTAACCGAGTAAGTCATTGTATTAACAAAAAATGGCCAAAAAACCTTTGTTGGATTCTTTCATCTCTTTGGCGACTGACCAAAGAACCTAGAGAACTCATTTTGCGAGGACGCCTCCTTGTTCATGCCCACTGCCCCACTGGAGCACAGGATAGCTGCAATTCACTTTGAGGCCTCACCTGTAGGAGGCGGCGGCCACACAGGCAGCCAGGACGACACCCACTAGTTTGTGGGAACCCTGAGAATGTGTGATTTTTCAGTCTGGACTGTACTGAAATGTCACCGGCCTTCCCCACTGCATTCATAAGAAGTGGCAGCTGGCCCACCAGTACTCCTCCTGCTACCAACTCGCTCTAGGCTGGCTGTGTAATAAACGGCTTGGGAATCTCACCTGCGCCGGTTTCAATAACCTGAAGCTATGATTTCAGGTTTGCAGTTTTCAAATAGCACTTCGTTATTCAGTTGAGTAGCCATATGGATGCCAACCACCTATGGAAAAAGGTGTTTATCTCAAAGACAGTATTTAACACTGTACAGTTAGTACATAGCTGTACCAACAGGCACAATTTAGTTACTGATGGTTGGTCACTTAACATAAAATCCACTCAGTAGCGCCTCGTGGCTTTTTTAACTGCAAGATCGAAACTGAGTTGCAAGTATACTACACATCCATCCAAAATAAATAATCTTATGTGAAATAGATTCTGTCATAAAAGATATGAATAAAACAAAATTGAGCCTGCATGTTCCATTTGCCCACAAACTTGCACACTAAATATCCTGCACAGACAATTGCAGCAAAGAAAACTGCCCATATGCAAAAAACTTAAAAGCATTCTTTCAGAGGCCAAAATAAACATGCATATATAGGAATAAAGTGTTACTATTCAACACAATGCTATTTTTTAAAAAATCAACTGCATAGGTTAAAAATATAACAATGTGCAACATTTTAAACCATTAAAGCACCCCCCATTTTTAAAAAACCCAACCACCAAAAAAGAAATCCCCAACACCCACACCCAAAATCACCATTTTCATGACCAATAACATACACAAATAAACAATGATCAAAACTCAGAAAGTAAATACCTGGACGGATACACTGTCCATTGTTGGGAGTTTTTCTTCAATTTAAGTGTCTTTTTTTCATCTCTAAAAAAAATTTTAAAGTGCTAACTTTATATAAAGCAGGCAAATTCTTCAAGTAATTTGCTATTGAGTATGCCAATTTTAATAGAGCTAAATAATGAACTACGGATAAAGTGAAACAAGGCGACAGACATAGGAACAAACTGACAAATAGTAGCTGAACAAAGCAGTAGGCTGCTACACCATCTTGGCTTTCTTCAATTAAAGACACTAACAGAATTCAGATTTCTGTTGACTTTGAGTACACAACTCCCTTAAATTCGCTAGATCTACACAACAATCCACCGTACACAGAAAGTCATTAAGGCAAGGAGTGCCATTTAACAATTAGGACTGGGCACGAGTTAAAGCAATCTTACAGAGTAAAAGGTTGCCTACTACTATAAATGAATATAAACGACTAGATGTGGCAAGGTTAAGTAGTGGAACTCCGTCCAAAATTTAATCACTCCTGCCCCTTAGCTGCTTTCTCAAGGAAGTATACATTAACCAAATGGCGGTTGAGGTGTTTGCTGTAATCTTTTTCCTTTCTAAAAGAACGATCACAGAAAATGCAAACAAAATCGCCCTCCGCCGCTTTGCCTGCTAAGGCCTCCTCGGCATTTTTTCTACTAGCGTCTGGTGGAACCGGGCGCGCCCCATTTAAGCCAGAATCATCACTACCCTCTGACATGTTGTCACTTAGGTCACTTCCATCATGACTGTGAATGCCTTCGTCTTCATCGATTTCCTGAGACTCGTTTACAGCCGTGGTCACGGGTGATGTCTCGGCAGTTTTGGACACTGCTGCTGCTGCTTTCTCTACTGGTGCGGGGACAAGCAGCGATGGAACTGGTTCAGCAGCCGAGTCTTTACCAGAGAGCGTCTCAGCTGTGTTCTCATCGCGGTCGGTTTCCATTGCACAAAGCACTGTGTCGGCCTGATGCTTCCCGTCGAAAATGTCACCCCCCGGCGATGTCAAGTTTCCGTCAACTGAAACACTGGTAGATTCCTCGGTACTAGCAGCGAGATGATTATCCACCTCGTCTGCTCTGACTCTCCGAGGAGGGGCTTCTTGAATTCCTCCTCCTTCAGAGTGTAAATTTTGGTCTTTTGGTGCCTCTTCCTGGAAGTTGTCCTCTGGCAACAGTGGGGAGCGTGGCAGGACTTCGGGCGTGCTGGCACTTTCCTTGCGAACCTGGCTCTCTCTGTGGACAGGCACTAAGCCAACCTCATTGAGGATTTGCTCCTTCCGCGCCATTTCACTCAGCGTGTCCGACATTTCCACATCACAGTCTGGGGCGGAAGGTGTTGGCGGCATCGAGTCCACCTGCGACAACGGCTCCACCAGTGGTGGCGGCTCGGCCGGAAGAGGGAGATCCACCCGTGATGGAGGCTCCTCCGGAAGAGCTTCCACCCGTGGCAGCGGCTCCACCGGAAGAGGAGGGTCCTTCGGTGGTGGCAGCTCAGCCGGAGCCGGAAGAGGAGGGTCCACCAGTGGCAGCGGCTCGGCTGGAGCCGGAAGAGGAGGGTCCTCCGGTGGCAGTGGTGCCCCCCGCGGCAAGGGCGCCCGCTGCGGGGCGGGCAGCTTCGGGCTGGGGGGCCGCCTGGCATTCTTCTTCTGGCACGGCCCCTTCAGAACAGGCTCGCCCTCGGGGGACTGGCCCTTCTTTTTACTGGATTTGTTTGTCTTCGGAGTTTTCTTCTTGGTACTTTTTTTCACGGAGGTCTTCGGCTTTCGAGTGTCCTCCGCTTTGCTGTCGCCCCGGGGTGCCTCCCGGCTGCTCTTGCTCTCGCCCTTCGTTTTCTTCTTGGCCACAGGCTCCTCCTCGGCCGCGGCCTCCGCCCTCCGCTTGCTGCCCTTGGCTCTGCGGGCCGGCTCGGCCCCGGCGTGCGCCCCCGGCTCTCTGGGCTCCGCGGCCGCCGCCTTGCGCATCCGGGTCGTCACCTGGACCACGGCTGCGGGGTTCCCGGGCTTCTTCTCTTTAGAAGCATTCTCTTTTTTCTCCACTTTGCCCGGCTTCTCGCATTTCTTCCCAGTCGCATCTCCCTTTGTTTTTGTCTTCTCGGGTTCCGCCTTCTCATCGGCAACACTGTTGTTGGGCAAGTCCGCCTCCCGCTTTTTGGTTTTCTTCAGTCTCACTTTTGAAACATCCATTGTTTTACTCGGACAAGTGGGATGCTTAGATTTGAAGTGATACTGCAGATTACACTTCTTGGAGGCGGCATAGTCGCAGACAGGACAGTTGAACTGCCGGGGGTTAACATGCAGCTCCACGTGTTTCTTGAAGTTACTTCTGTCTGCCGTTTTGTAATCGCAGTAAGGGCAGTTCAGCGGTTTGGGCCCGTTGTGAACTTGTCTTGCGTGGCGGGTTACTTCATGTTGGTTAGAGGCCACATAGCTGCACTGATCACATTTAAATGGCTTCTCACCTAGAGATGAACAAGAGGTGTTTAGAGAAGACACAGGTTAAAAAATAAATTCAAGACCTCAAAATATAGTAAGATAAATCTGATAAAACATCAGATTACTTGTTGAAAAGACTATCATGCACCTTATGATTCCCATATTTACTTATATAATTCTTCTCTGTCCTTTGATAGTGGTTCTAAGACCATGGTCAGGGAGAATGATCTCAAGCTACTGTCACATGGAGGCCATCAAGGGGCTCACTCACACTCCTAAAGAAGCCCTAAATTCCCACACAGCTTCAATTAAGTCTTAAAACTTAAAAAAAAATTAAAAATATATATATATATCTCACTCTGGGCTATCCTCCCAGACCCTGCGCTTTAATCTCAAGGAGGGGGGCAAAAAGTTTTGTTTTTTTTTGTCAACTTTCAATTAACCTTTTTGTCCACTGTGACAAGTTTCACTTAACTAACTTTTCAAATGCCAAAGTTAATCTTCAAAAGCAAAAGAAACGGCCAAGAAACCTTTTCTTGCTCTCTCTACCCTTTCTTCTCTCAAAGGGGCAAGGAAAAATTAGGTAGGTGAGAAGAAATATACAAGTAGATATGGTACATACAATAAACATCATCACCACCACGGACAAAACCAAAAACCACTCCCACCCCCAAATTAAAGGGATAAGAGTAGCACATTCTTTTGTACCTGAATACATACCCATCTAGATCACACTCTAGTAATATTACCAAATGGTATCCAGACCCCACTGGTCCAAAGGAATGCATAGTAGAAAAATGAAAATTAACATTTATGAAGTCATCTCTCAAACATCAGATTCACATAAAAAACATATTTTAAAGTTTCATAGAGCAAACTGATTTACTCAGACATCAAAAGCAAAGCCATGTGGATATTAATCTTTACACAATTAGAAAATATCTGTGGAGAACTTAAAATACTAAATCACAAAATAAAATAAAAATGTATCAAGTATGTCAGATTGGTTATCGCAGCTGATTAAACAACTTTCCACATTAGTCCATTCATTTTTTCAAATCAATGGCAAATATTTGCTTACCATCTACAGACATAAATGGAGGAAAGATGGTGGGGGAGGGGGTTGGGCAGAATGGTTTAAGACAACTTCTAAAGTTAAAAAGTATCTGGGAATTTAAACATGGACTCCTCAGCTTGCTTATTGAACAAGGTACTAAAAACTCTCTAAGGCTCAGTCTCCTCACTTATAAAAATACTCCCTACTAAATACCAAGAGATATAAATAATGTAATCCTTAAAAGCACTTAGCAAGAGACGTACAAGAGGCACTAAACAGGTTATTGCAATAGCTGATCTCTTTGGGAGCCAACAGGTCATTTTTAGTATGAGTAAACAAAAAGCAGGTAATTTTCGTGTAGCCTTTAGGAAGGAGATCCAAAGAGGGAGTCTTAGTTCAGATATAAACTTCAACCTGTGAAATGGTCACAGGGGAGTGGTCTATAGAGGAAATTGATGTGGAACATTCGGTGGCATATTCAATTTGCTGTGCTACTCTCTGTCCTCCAAGATTTTGTTGTAGCATCAAGTGTGTTTGCATAACCCACACTCAAACCTTATGTACCGTTAATAAGAATTCTTCAGTTATTTGATGCTGCATAGTTTCTAAAGTATCTTGCAGCTGGGAGAATACATTTTTTCGATAACTCTTTAGAGCAGGTAAACTAAATTTTATCTTCATTTATTATACACATTATCTTGAGACTACAAGAACACTGGCTTTTTAATACATCCACTCCTCACTCACGGCCATGATTAGGTTTTAAAGACCAAGTGAAAAGCAGTGTTATGCAAAATTAGATAACCACATGAACAAAATGGCGGACGTTTGCATCATAACATCACTGCCAAAGCACTGAGGAGGCTGGCCCAGTCAAGTTGTCACACCCTTGCACACACCATCACAGCTAGCAGCCAGCCATACATACACTGGCCTACATCTAAATGTTCACTGCTGCTTGACCCAAGTCATTAATTAACAAAATAGGTAACTGTTTGTTTTTGATTTTTTAAAACTGTTGTGGTAAATACAAAATACTGGTTGAGGTAGTATGAGATAGAATTACCTATTCATTAAGGGTTTTTAAGGTTTTAAAAAATTATTTCAAGCATAGTCAACTATTTCTGGCCTGTACTTTAGTCCCTTCCCAAATATACTATTTGTCTATATATTATTGAATCATGTTTCATAAGTTATGCCAGTCTTATTATCTAGTATTAATGTAAGGCAAGCTCAGAAGAGCAAAGATTTGTTCAAGGTTTACATATTCATAAAAAGAATAATCCAGAAACTGCTAAGGAAATTCTAAAGCAGTCAAGGGACACAGAATGGATTACTACCACTCAGCAATATAAAAATTCTGTTAATACAGCAAGAAGGGGATGAATCTCAAAAGCAAAATGCTCCAGGAAAATGACACAAAAGGATATATGCTCTATATTTCATGTGTAGACATTTAAAAAGCAAAACTGCTTTTTTTATTAAGTCAGAATATTGACCAAAGGGTAGGAGAGGGGTGTGGGGTGGGGTGAGAGGGCAGGAGGCAACATTCCTTAGGGCAATAGCAAAGTGTCAGGTCTTGACCGAAGTAGTAGTGAAAACATAAGTCACTGAGGGTCCCCTCTTGTAATACTTCATGTGTGCAACTTAACATGTAACAGTTATTCCATAAAATATGATTTTAAGTATGCTAAAATTCATGAAGCTCTCCAGCCATGGCAACGTGAAGACAAAGCGAGGTATTTATACTAATGTTCATTCACGAAGTTGGCACCGGACTGGCCGGTGTTTCCTTCTACGTTACATCAGGTTGATATCAGAAGAAAGCAACGTGACCTCAAAACAACAGTATGAAAATCGCCAAACAGAAGCTAAAAGGGAAATAAATGGCTATCACTGAATTCTTTTTTAAATGGAGGTGAAATGCAGCAATTGCCTTCTGCTTTTCTAACAAACATCACAACCCACAGAAGGGGTACTCCTTGCAAGTGACAAGCAGGAGGCAATAGGCAGTGTGATACACGCAACACAATTAAGTACATGTTAAAAAAGAACATAATAGCAATTACAAAAAACACGGAAGCCTCTCCATCAAGGTAGCAAAGGGCGAGTTGACGAAAACACCCATGCCTCTTAAGAGTCCCCCCAGGAAGGGAGAACAACCAGGGAACAGTCTTTGGGAAATGCAAAGGGCTAACATGCTCAGCCAGGGAGGTTCAGGTTCACCCAGAGGCACCTCAGAAGAAAGGCTTGGCCGTCCGCTTCCCAAGGTAGCCACTGAAAACACTGTGGGACACGGAGTTCTACTCGACACACCTGGGGTCCCCGGGAGTTTAAATCAATTTGATGGAAACTGGTTTTACTAGATAGAAGCAGCAATAAAAGGAAGACCATTGCCACTTGTCCCATTCAGAGGGCCAGTCTTTCCACCAACACCCAATTTCCATTTTTCTCAAACTGATTCTAAAGGTTAGTTTGACCTAGAACCTACCCCCAGAGTATGGAAGAACTCCAAGTAAACCACCAATGTGGTTTTGCTTCATAAACCTTTGCCAATTTGGTTAAAATGTACCAATTCAGCAGAGCCTAATCTCTCCCAGAAATAAATCAAGAGCACAAGCTGCTCTTCTCTCAAAGCATTCCCATGAATTACTAAGGTCAAAGGTGGCCTGTAACGACAGAGCTCCAGGAGAAAGACCATCCAACTGCACCTGCATTAGTTAGCCTGGTTTTATTCCATGTGCCATCAGCAACGTCCACTCAAGTGCGTTATCCCACGCCAGTGCCCCAGCATCACTAATGAACTACGTAATTCAAACCGCACACATCAAGTAGTCTGCAGTCATAGAAGAAACACACAAAAGAGTCCCATAAAGTAGGCAACTCAGAAAGAGGAGGACATTTGTTCTACAGGGAAAAGAAAGTCTGTCCTATTTGCTAGATGCCTTAGTTTGCTACCTCTAAGATAGGGGTATTAATAGAACTTCTACTGCCCCAAGATTATATTGAGTGCATTCTTAGAAAACTTGTATTTTTACTTTTCAACAATACCCAACCATACCCTCAAAGACTGAAGGCTGCATACACATTTCCTGGAGGGAAAGAAAGCAGGAAGCACCCCAAAAGTTTCTGGTTAAGGTGACCCAACTCATGATTTTAGGAGATTTAAAAGAAACAATGTACATACATTCATGAGAAGCATGTGGGGTCCAGAAAGGCTAGCATACTATATACTGTATGACACCCCCCCTTCCTAAGGTAGACTTTAGGTAATCATTGAAGGGAAACGAGTCTGCATTTTAATAAACAACAAAACATTACCTATTAGACACACTGACTCTGGAAGGAGAGCAATCCAATCAAAAGCAGTAGTTCACTAGGGTCAATCATGGCCAAATGAAGTCATTACTTTTTAAGACCACCTAGATTAATTTTTTGATTTTGTTTTTACTGTAGTCACCCACACTGAGAACCAACTCCGGGTGGTTGGGGTTACTTTAGTCACTGGAGTAGTCATTGGACTTTAGTCATTTTGCTTGACAAATCAGTGTTCTAGATTACCATCTTTTTTTCTTTAGCTTTTGTAAATCAGCCCTTAAAACCCATCAACTCATAAAATAACAAATCCCCAATCTTCAGAGCCACGCCCAGCATTATGCTATGAGTATAAAGCTTTGCTGGGAGAGCAAGGAAGCAATGATTAAAACACCGTTGGTTTACGGGTAACTACTGCCACTGACTCAATTTTGATTCACAGCTACACCCTACAGGACAGGGTAGAAATTGCCCTTCAAGTTTCCCTGATTGTATCTCCCTACAGCAGGGGTCCTCAAACTTTTTTAATGGGGCCAGTTCACTGTCCCTCAGACCTGTTGGAGGGCCAGACTATAGTTTAAAAAAAATCGATGAACAAATTCCTATGCACACATCTTATTTTGAAGAAAACAAATGGGGCAAAAACACCCGGCGGGCCGCATGCATGTGGCCTGCAGGCCATAGTTTGAGGACGCTTGCTTTACAGGAATAGTGGCTGCTAGTTCTAACCTTGGAGTTACTAGTACAACACAGAACCACCAAGTCCCAATTTTATTAGGAGTTATAAAACTCTGGATCTAAGTTAAGCCACAGCTCCTCCTTCCCAGAAAAAAATACACATTTATATTCAATTTCAGGAACTCACACACAAACTCCAGATTAAGGTATTCCAGCTCTACAACAGTATTAAAAGAACACTGGCTTCTACTTGAGTTTCTAAAATTTGCCAAATAAGCCATTTAATTTAACTCCATGTTCGGAAATAAAGCATTACTCAGCGCCATATTTTAGAAGAACTTCCTAATGGCAGTCCCCATGTTCATACCAACCTGAATGAGTACGCATGTGTCGAGTTAGATGAGTCTTCTGAGAACTTGAGTAAGGACAAAGCTCACATTTATATGGGCGTTCCCCTGCAAAAAACATGATAATGAATGAACAGGGTTTCCCTATGACCAACTATGCCAAATACAATTCCCACTAACAATATGCATTTAGCACTGATGATTAAATGTGTGTGTGTGTGTATTCCTCTATCCTCTATTCTGGGGAAATAATCACCATTTTACATCATGTATTAGAAATACAAGTGATTTCACTCAGAAATTACATATTATTAAAGTTCACTTTGTGAATTCTCATCGTCTCTTTCACAGTGATGTTGTATGTTGTTGCATTAAGTACTTAACCTCTTAACCTGTTCTTTTCACTCAAATATGGTACCCTGTCTCTCTTTAAGTGTTCTAGAGATTATTTTGTGACAACGGCTATATAACTATGACTATGCTGCCAGACCCTGAATTGTACATGAGTGAATTGTGTGATTATAACTCAATAAAGCAGTGATAGAATATGCTAGTGGCCTTGAAAGCATTATACTAAGTGAAATAAATCAGTCACAGATAAATAGTGCATGCTCCTACTCATGAACTATGTAGAACGGAAGTAAGTGGGGCTCAATGTTTAGGAGGCACCAAGCTTCTGCTAAGGGTGGGGATTTGGAAACGGGCAATGGCTGAACTAATATCCTTGAATTTCACATGAAACAGAATAAATATCCTTGAATTTCACATGTGA